AAACTGCACTTAAAAATATTGTTGGTTTAACTTAAAAAATTAAGTAACCTGGTTGCCTTAAAATTTTAAGTTCATTGAACTGGTACAATGAAGGAGATTGATTTAAGCATCAGAAACTCAAAATATTATGTTATATAAACTACATAAATTATTTAAGTTGATTTGACAAAAGAAAAACTGTGATTATAAATCATGAAACTATTCTTTTTACAGTGATATTTTTTGATCCTAAATCTATATTATTTATATTAGAGGTCATACTTGTAAGTGTGGTGGTCAGCATCGGTCAAGACGGCACACACCGGTGAACACGAGCTCTTGCGTGGGTCGCGTGTGCCTGTTGACCTTTTAATATCCAAATGTGTGACATGTGGCAGCGGGACGCCTGATTATGCACATGACTGCAGGAGCCAAATGTTCACAGTTGGTTCACCTCATTTTATTATAATGTCATTTTACCTTGTGCTTCGCCCTAATGTTGGCTATTTCACTTGATATGTTTTGCTTCATGCATCATCTTCAGTTTGGTTTGCAGTGGGCTAGAAATAATGAAGGGCCATTTCACTGGAAAGCTTCTCAGCTTGAGTCCTGCGATGAGGACAAATACAAGGAACTTGTTTGGAAGGCAACCAGTCTCATTTAAAAAGGCCTGATTATTTATTAAAGACGCATATTACGAGACTCGTGATGATTTTAAAGCAAGCTTGTGCAAAAATCGGTCATAAATAATTCTCATGTGGTGAGTTTGAGCGAATATATAAACCGAATTGTCTTTGATTTCAGAACTTTGTAACCTTTGTTGAAATTTTGTAAAAAAAAAAACAACAACAACACAATATATATATATATATTTCCTTTATAATCAGATTTAATTTCTGGACGGCACCCTGCATTAGAGTTTGATTTGGTTTATATCTTTACTGTAAACTCCAGCAGTTTACGATAACAGGCACTGAATGGTTTAAATCCTTTATTTCTTTTATGGCTTTGCAGTGTGAGCTGTGGGTTAATGACGTGTGTATTCCCGCTGGTGAACTCAGATGGCAGCCAATATATCTGTGACACATGACGCAGAGTGTATATGACAGAGGCTTAAAGCATGGCTGTTCTTACTTTATACATGAGCATGCAGATCTATCCGTCAGCTGCTGAACTGAAGCATGTGTACATGCGAGGACGACTCATTAGAGGACACTGCTTAAAGGAGTAGTTCACTTTTAAAAAAAACTTTGCTGATAATTTACTCGCCCCCATGTCATCCAAGATGTCCATGTCTTTCTTTCTTCAGTCGAAAAGAAATTAAGGTTTTTGATGAAAACATTCCAGGATTTTCTCCATATAATAGACTTCAATGGGAACCAAACGGTTCAAGGTCCAAAAGACAGTTTCAGTGCAAACTGTTCAAAGGGCTTTAAACGACTCCAGACGATGAATAAGGGTCTTATCAAGCGAAACGATCGCTCAATTAATAAATAAATAACAAAGTTTAAGTTTTATAAGATGTTCTATGATGTGCGTTCGTGGCTCTCCTGTTCATCAAAATGAACAAATCTTTTTCCGAGTCAATTCATTTGTTTCGTTCGTTGAATGGACCAAATGACACGAAAACAGATTTGTTCATTTTGATGAACAGGAGAGTCACGGACGCGCATCACAGAACAGAGCAAGGCGAGCATTTGAGTTGATAAAACTTAGAATTTGTTATTTATTTATTAAATGAGTGATCGTTTCACTTCATAAGACCCTTATTCATCGTCTGGAATCGTTTAAAGCCTTTTGAACAGTTTGCACTGAAACTGTCTTTTGGACCTTGAACCGTTTGGTTCCCATTGAAGTCCATTATATGGAGAAAATCCTGGAATGTTTTCATCAAAAACCTTAATTTCTTTTCGACTGAAGAAAGAAAGACATGGACATCTTGGATGACATGTGGGTGAGTAAATTATCAGCAAAAGTTCTTTTAAAAGTGAACTACTCCTTTAACACTGCTGACATCCTTTAGTTGTAAAACACTCAAATTTAAAAGAAAAAAAGATATATTAATGTTTTTTTTATTGGTTATATGAATGTTAAGGGGAAATTCCATTTGATAATTTGGAAAAACAAGATGGTAACATTTTTAGAGAACATTCAAAATTAACAAGTATGACGTTTAAAAAAAATCAATAAAGCAAATGATACATAAATAATGTTTTTGTGCTACAATTTTGAGAATATCATTAAATATCAGATAACTTTGGACACATGTTATTGGACGAACGTTTGCTCATAACTTTGCCAATCTCCCGGTAAGCTGGAATATTATAGTGACTTGATTCGAACTTTGAATATCTTTGGCTTTTAATTTAATCATATCAAGACTTGAGTAGCAGTAATGAAGCGTATTCAGTAATCGAAATAATCAGATAATGAGAGAAAACTATACGTCACTTGAAATTAGTCTCAAAGTGACGCATCATTAATTTGAATTAAGAGTAAGCGGGATTCTACGTGTCCGCTCATGCTTTTATCCACAATGCATCAGATTTACTTCCACACTAACTGTGCGAGTTCTTCTCCAACCTTCAAACAGCTGTAATCAGGTCAGAACAAGAGCGATGAGCGAGTCTGGATCTGATGAATGGAGCTAAAAAAGCAATGAGGTGATGAAGAGCAACAATCACTTCCCAGAATGCACCTGTACACCTCCCGACTGGTGACATCATACGCCAGATGGGAGCAATTAGGAAATTGGATGATAAATAGAGATGCTTTTCTACACCAGATGCTGAAATCACAGTGAAGCGCATGCACTACATATAGCAAATCTCCAAATGTGCAAGGTTATCGCCCTGCGATTGACATTTTTAAAGTTAAAAATTAAACATAGCAAATAAAGTTGGAATTATTTAACCCCCATTGCGAAAGTGTACTGACCTTTCAGCTGTTTCCAATGAACAAATCAAACAAGAGTAATTGAAATGGCTCAACACAGCAAATGTTTCTCCAAATTCAACTGAAAATGCAACTTTCTATGACTTCTGCAGTCTCAAAATTATTCAAGCCCCTGAATAAAACCCCTCAAAACAGCACAAATCTGCAAAACAGGTGTTGACTCAAGCACACATGATGCAACTGTTCAAGGGCTTCATTAGTTGCGCCAGGTGTGCTTGAGCTAGAACACATGACATATCAGAACTAGGTTTGTTGAGTGTCACGTGACTGCATGTTATAGGGCCCTATAATTTCCGCGATCACGGAATCGCGGACGGAATCGCGGAATTGAATCTAGTGTTAACGCGGAATTTTACATATTTGTAATGAAATTAGGTTTTTGTGTGGGAGAAGAACGTATGTCTGGGGGAAATGCAGAGAGACGGGGAAGCAAATCTGGGCGACACAACATTTTAGGATGGATAGTATGCACATTACGACGCAGCTAGAGTGTGACTTTTATTTTAACTTATATAAACTAAACTAATATAATTTATTTTACAGGACAGTTTAAAGCTCATAACCATATTTTGTTGTTACTTGAAGTACTTAGAGAGCAGTGTTATGTTGCATCATGCAGTATTTGTCATTTTAAGAGTAAATACCTATTTTATTTGTGTAAATTTTAATCATTAACATTAAAAGCTCTTTTTACAGCTAAAATAACAGTAAAGGGTAAAAAAAAAACTGAATTCCCAAAAATTGGAATTTGGGAAAAAATAAAAAGGGCCCTAATGTTAGAAATACGTCAAAGGAATCGTCCAAAAGGTAAAGAGAATTGCCTTCACAAACAAGGAACAGGATACAAAAAGACAGCAAAGGAACTAAATGTTACTGAGACACAGTTGGAAGCATAATTGTGTTCAAAGTAGGGCTGTCTAAGCGGTTGTGTTCTGTTCTTGGGTGTAATAATGAGTGTTTTCTTACAATACTAATGAGAATTTTTAATTAAAGTATATTACAAACTTTTCCTTTAGACCCTAAAGAATTAAATTAACTTTTAAGCCTAAACCCTAAAACCATATTCTGGACAAATGTGGGCAAAGTAGTTTTGATTTATTTTTTAAAAAATACTTCCCTTGATCTGAGTGCTACAAGACTTGGCTACTATTCCTAAGTTTGCCTCCTGAACACACTTTTTTTTTTTTTTTTTGACTCAATTCTACAGTGTTACGTGGGTGAAAAAAACCCTCCTTAATCTTGTATTTGGGTCAAAAATGGGCACCCATAGAAATGAATGGGAAATACTGTAATTTAGAACTTTCTAAAATAAGCCAAAAAAAGCCACCAGGTGTCCGCAAAGTCACTTCATCTTTAGGTTTTAGCTCCAAGAACTTATTGGAATGATATTTTAATGTAGTTAAAAAATTAAACGTAAAAATAAGCATAATTTACATAGGAAATGTAGTACTTTTTGAAGTAAATAAATTCAAAATTTAATCCAAAATGAAAAATAACACCATAAATGGATAGACAAAACTTTATCGAAGACAGTGATGTAACATTTATAATAAATAAAAAAATTAGGATCACACCTGAGTCCTCTGTGCCCACATTTGTCCACAATTACAGGATTAATGGCTATAAAGTGAATACGGTTTTAGGGCTACATGAGGAATATTGTGACGTTTTCGATCCCAGGGAGTTCAGAAACACCAACTCTGATATAGAGAGGGACTTTGCAAAGCGTTTTAATGCTCAAACAGCAACATTACACACTAAAGAAATGTGAACATGGAAAGAAGCCCTAAAAAAAATGAAACGGTTGACGTTGGACTGAGAGTAATCGTTTTCTCCCTTTTCTCACAGCATTTTCCAGCCGTCAGCGGGGCCTTAATGGACACTCCACACAATGGCAACGCGTCCCTTCAGACCTCCACCTCCAACCTCAACGCCAAACCAGTGGATCCGGCAAACGAGCCCAAGTACTCCACCGACGCCATCTGGCTGTGGGTGGCCGTCATTGCAACCGTTTCCAACATTGTGGTGGTAGCGGTGGTGTGTGCCTGTGCCTTTTAGACCCAGTAGTGTTCAAGAACACAGCCTGAACTCCTGATCCGTCACCCGTTTGCACCTTAGCACAGTATTTAGTATGCAAGCAACAACCTTCCGTCTCCTTTCTCCAAAGATGCATTTAAGCGAACTTAAAGGCAGCTGAATGATCTTTTATGTTAAATCAATGACACGGCACTTATTCTTCAATAGATTTCTTTGGTTAGTCTCTACATAAAATAAGTTGCTTGGTTATATAAGCCAGCGTCGCGTAACATCTGTCAACTGTCCAGTTGTTCATCAACATGATAAAGTAAATCCCTGGGACATGCATGGATACGTGTGCATGTTTCTGAGTGTCAGTGCATGCTAAATTAGACAGATGGTGGTTGTCAGACGAGTCTATGCATTAACTGGCATTAGTTCACACTTCCTCTTTATTTCTACCTCTACCAATGGAGTCAACACAAGTTAGGCAATCTAGGACCGATATATGACGCATTACCATAACTGTCAGCAAATGTGATCATATACGGGAATCTTTTTCATATTTAGTGCATCATTGCCATTCATTGGTTGAATGTGGCATTGAAATCAGTGTTTTCACTAAATGACTTATTGCTAGTCTCTGCACGTTAAGCTTGAATAGGATACGTGTTTTAACAACAAAACACATCACATTTAATTTCTGTCCTACTATAGAGCCACTCAAACCCACTCGTCTTCCATTTAATTGTTTTAATGCTGTCTCTTTTGTTAAAAACATTAGCCCTGCCAACTTCCATCCGAGTTCATAGTTTAGTGTGTGATAATGTAAGTGCATGAATGAAGCTTAATCTCAGATACAGATATGCCACCTCATTAATTCAATCAGAGCTCATTTTTCAACACCCAAACGTCTACTTTTACTAATGGTCGGCTGGATCTCTGAACTGAGACTTGTTCGAGAGCGATTCATCAAACTGTGTTCAGGTTCAGAGGTTTAGTCGCTCTGTATTATTACGCCCGAGTCGGAGTTATGCGTGACCTCATTTTAGGGCTTTAATTCAGAGATGATATAGATAGTGTTCTCTGACAGTCCTAACCCTTTATTGCACAAAATTGTCTTGGCATATCTCAAAAAATGTAAGTTTTCCACCGAAATATGAAGCAGCACAACTGTTTTCAGCATTGGTCATAATAATAAATGTTCAGCATTTTCGTAACCGTTTGCTTTCATTCGGTTCAATGATTAAATGTAAATATTAGTAATAATGCTTGGAATAAATTCTATTTTACAGTATTCTCGCATATAAAACAGATATTTGAAATTGTAATAATATTTCACAATATTACTGTTTTTACTGATCAAATCTTCTTTAGAAAAGCATTGCAAACTTTTGAAGTTGTGTGTTAAAGCGTTACAGATATCCATCGCTCCGCTTTGCTCTGTGGTGAAGCCGGTGAAGGGTTGAAACCCTCTGCCTGTGTTTTCCTTCAGGAGTTTGGGAACAGGGCTGTGGTGTTTTTCTGGCCATAGTTTGATCTCAGAAATATGGCACAGCCTTAACACCATATGTGTGCTTGAATCCGGGGTCAATGGAGACGCAGGCGTCCATCACACACTCAACTACACCGCAATGTGCCTTAGGGAACATAATGCTGCCCATCCGTGCGCTCCGGTGTGGACACAGAGGGATTGATCGGTCTCATTTTGGAGGTGAGCTTTCTTTAAATTCGTTACTGGCAGCTCTTCTGCATTGACCTCAGGCAGGACCAGACGGATTCTGCTTTCGGAGACATCAAGCGCGGATCACGAGGTTTACATTTGTGTAAAGACCGAAGGATGGACGGGGAATGGATTATAATCTTATAAAGATATGCAACATTAACACACTGTTCTGACTGGTCAATTGCATCACATAATTACGCATAATGATTTCTACACTGTTCACGTTAAAAAATGCCGGGTTGTTTTAACCTAATTTTGGGTCAAATATGAACAAACCCAGCCATTGGGTTAAAAATGTGATTTAAAAATGTAACCCAATGGCTGGGTTTGTCCATATTTGACCCAAAAATGGGTTAAAACAACCCAGCATTTTTTAGAAAAACCCAACCTTGTTTGTTGTTTCAACCCAACTTTGGGTCAAATGTGGAGAAACTCAGCTGTTGGGTTAATTTTTATAATTCAAATTAACCCAACGTTCGGGTTTGTCAATATTTGACCTACAATTTTTTTTTTTTAGAGTGTACACTACTGGTACAAAGTTTAAAATGATTATGATTTTTAAAAAAAAATGTCTCTTCTGCTCGCTGAGGATGCATTTCCTTGAATCATACAGTACACTCTAAACAATGCTGGGTTGTTTTAACCCAAATTTGGGTCAAATATGGACAAACCCAAATGTTGGGTTAAAAATGCATTTTAAAATTTTAACCCAACTTCAACGGTACATTTTTTAAATACATTTTAACCCAACATTTGGGTTTGTCCATATTTGACCCAAATTTGGGTTGAAACATCCCCCCATATTTTTGAGAGTGTAAAAACAGTAAAACTGTGAAATTGTATTATCATTTTAATATTTTTATATCATTAATTTTTTATATAATGTATATTTTTACATTTTAAACAGTCATTTGTTCCTGTGATCAATATAATACGCTGATTTGGTTCCATTAAAAAAAAGCAGCACAAATGTTTTTTAAAATATCGATATGTTTCTTCAGCAGAAAATCATCATATTAGAGTGATTTATGACTGGAGTAATGATGCTGGAAATGATACTGAATAAATTACAGCTTACTATATATTCATACACAGAACAGCGATTTTAAATCGTAATAATATTTCACAATATTTCTGTTTTTACTGGATTTCAGTTTAAATAAATGCAGCCTTTGTGAGAATAATACACTCTAAAAAATGCTGGGTTGTTTCAACCCAAATTTGGGTAAAATATGGACTAACCCAAATGCTGGGTTAAAAATGTAATAACAAAATTTACAGTTGAAAGTTTTGAAATTACATTTTCAATTTTTCCATATTTGACCCAAATTTGGGTTAAAACAACCCAGCATTGTTTAGAGTGTAGCTTTCAAAAACTTAAAAAAAAATCATGATTTCAAACTTTTGACCAATAGTGTATATTTAAATAAATGTGTAATAATAATTGGTGACATTTGCAAGTTTAAAAATATAAGCTTCGTTTAATTTCATGTCCATTGATTTGGTAAGTAGCTGTGTAATTAGAGAGATAATGTACAGTCACGTGTCTGTATTTTGTGATAATGACCATGAAAACGATTTCGCATTTTTGCTTTCAACCATTAAACTGGCCTCGAATCCATTCTGCAATAAAGAAAAGATATCCGCAGTTGTAAAGAGCAAGGCCGTGATGCGATTGCTGTTTGATTTCCGCCCATGATTTAAAACATCTTGACACTATTATTATGCATCATATATCCGAGGCTGTGTTTGCACGAAGATGTCTGTAGTCTCTCCTGACCCTTTAACACATCTCTTCTTGTCTTTCAGATCGAAAGGAACATGTTGCAGCCTAAAGGTTGCTTGTATTCGAGCATATTCTCACAACAATACGATGCTTTGAGACACTTTGATGCAACGGCACAATGGGAACCTGCTTTAAAGACACTCAGAAGTGAAGGAGCTTGTTTGATTATCAAGTGAATTCCTGTTGGGGAAACTAAGCAGATTCATAATTTCATCATGCTCTGAATATCTGTAAATGTTAGGTTTTTTTTTTTTTGCTTGTTTGTTTTACAGTTGAATAGCAATATGCAAATGTGGGTTAAACATTACTTTTGAGTTATTTGCGTGTGTTGGAGACTCAAAGTGAGTGAACAACCAATTTAAAAAAAACACAACTTTACATTGTTTTTAGGACTGTCATTGACACAAAATATAGTTTTAATAGGTATCTAATAGCAGATTGTTTTATATGCATTTGGAAGTTAATAAAAAAATAAATGCATAGTAAATGAAATTGTATATAAATGGAGAAAATGCACTTTATTTATACTGGTCGGTAGAAGGAGAGTGAGTTTTATTATGATTTTCATTCAAAATTCAGCTGTTAACACATTGCATATCCATCTCCTTATTGCTATTGAAATGTGTGAATGAACGAGTAACACCGGACGATCTTTTGTCATGATGCCAGCACAGCAATACAGCATTGTTTCACATGCAAAATCCAGTTAAAGTCATCACAGAATGCACTGTTAATAAGAAAAACGGGGGACAGTTGAGCTCATCTATCTTTATATGAATTACTAAAAAAACCTATTGAAAATGACATCACCTTATAAAGAACAGCCATGAAGTGTCAGAATATAGTCTCGCTTTACCTGGATTCAAAGTGATCTGACCTGAACACCACCTCTATCTTTAACTATAGTATTAATATAGCGCATTATTATAGCACATGATGCACACTTCTTGATAACTGTACCCTTTTAATTCATGCTATTTTTGTTTATATGAAGGTAAAACATAAAAGTGATTTCCTCTTTCCACTTATGAATCCAGTGTTTAGATGTGAGTGATACTAGTCTAGCATGTTGGCAAATATCTCCCTTCTGCTGTAATTTTTATGCAAGTGTCATACTGTACATACTGTGTAAAAAGGATTCCTCCATGTATTTTCTTCCAATGTTTGTATAATAAGTTATACTCACAGTACAGCACTTTTTTTCCATTAATAATCGGACACCACCAAAAAGCTTATTTATTTGTCATTTTTACTTTTTGAACCTGTAGTAAAAGCTTAAAAAACTATTTAAGGAAGTTTTATCAAGGCTGCTTTTGTCTTTTTTTTTTTACAGTATCTACAAGAACCAGTTTGTTTACTATCAAGTGTCTAAATACTCTGATGTTTTTCTATAGGCTACAATTGAAGTGTAGTGTTCGTTGGGAACGCATACCGTGCTGTGTTTACTCCTTCACCTTTGACTTGAATGACCCGTGTGTGTGTCCGCTGTCTGGGAGGCTTGACCATATGCCGCGAAATCATAATAGCTGATTTCACCATGGATTTCACGCAGCCGCCATTTTGACATCGCTCCAGTGGGAAGAACACCGGAAGTGTCGCTTTTAATCATATGAGTCGCGAATTTGATGGCATATTGTTGTTTTAATGTAGAAATTAGTTATTCTAAAAATGTACACACATTTCTTTCATAAGACTATATACAGTGAAATTCGTTTATAAATAAAATATTTTATATAATTCAGAACGTAAAAAAAAAAGAAGCAGAAACAAACTATTTGTGTACACAAACATCCAATAACATCCAATAGTGTAAATCGCGGCATCAGCAGCTTCAGGTTAGTATAGTCCAAGGCATTATTGTCTATCAGTAGCTACTGGTTTCTTCCCACCTCAGCCTCACTTTCGATTTCAAAATGGTGGCTGCGTGAAATCAGTGTATTACGCACTACAAACAAAGCCAGAGATCACTAAAGAAATAATAAATTAAATTATGCAACACTATTATCTAGCTCTCTCTGTCACACATTAGTTTTCCCCCTCACATAAGCATTCATCACCCTTCAAAGAAGATAGGAAATGCAGGCCATTCCAATTTGCCCAGAAGAAAAGAACCACACGGTCCTCTCAAATCTGCCTTGTAATTTACCCAGGAGGACAGTTTGAGTAAATTGCTGGACCAGACCCGGTCATCTGGATCAACGGAGGAGTGCGGTAATCTCTGTTTGTATGCCGTGCCATTAAACTACAGTCATTTCTGTCTCTAATCACTGAGTTTTGTAATCACACAATCTGTTTTTCCACACTGCTACTAAATATAGAGGTGGAAGCCAAATCTAATTTGAACATGATTGAGGATTATTATGAGGATATTTATCTCATTTTCAAAACCTGTTATTGATATAGGCTAGAAGGAGATTTACCAATACAGTATTTCCATTTAAATGTGTTTTAACGGTGAACCCCACGAAAAAAAATAAATAAATAAAAGTCATAAAAAGTTTGGATTTATTTTGTTGATTGTCATTGAGTTTCCATTCATTTTTTGAGGGGAAAACGTGTTGCGTAAAGATTCTTTTTGGAATGTTTGGAACGATCTGGAACTTATTTGAACCAACGGCTGGATTCTTTTCCATTCTACACTCATGATGACCTCAAAACCCTTTTATCTCCAGCCTTTTATTCTGTTATTCACCATCCTCAAGGACCATCAACTTCTCGTCATAACATTGAGTGAATCAACAGCTGGTCTGTCTCATTCTACAGGGACGTTTAATCTCTGTGATAACGTTCAAGTTCATGCCGCCCACAGACTGGAAAATTTAGAGTGCGATTAATGGCTTTTCGCATACAAAAAAAAAGAGTTTTATTATAAATGTATCTTCATGACTGCATAGCGATGTAAACAAAGCAGCTTTTCTGTTGGTCAGTGCAGCAAATTTATGTGACCAACTTGAATAGATGCAAAATATGCGAGAAAAATAGACTTTTTTTTCAACGTGAAACTCGTGTATTTCTATTTGAATGATTTGATTTCTTCTCGAAATATTGCAGAACAACGGTACATTTTATTGGGAGGCTCATTATTAAAATATGCATGTGATTTCTATCTAGGCCTGTCTTAGCCTACAGAAAGTGCATGCTGGCATAACATCACTAGAGTGGCTTCAAGGTGAAAACCCATTTGAAATAGTTAAAAAAAGAAAAGCTTTTCATGACAAGACAATGAACACACTCCAGATATAAGGACACAAATGCGAAGCAGCTCTCAAAAGTCATATTATTCAGGAAGTCCTTCTTAGAAATGCTCCTCTTTAAGTGTCGGCCAACACACACACTGCCACGTTCATCTTCTCTATCTGCTGTGTTAGGGAGTGTAGGTCACGTTGACAGCAGTCATTAAGTTACCCATAAGACGCAGTTTCCCAGAAGGACTCCACATGGTGTGGCGCTGAATCACCAGGTTCAGTTTACTGGACTTCCTTCCACAAATGCTCTTTCGCCTCTCACAGACACGAGATATGGATCAAAACTTTGTTATGCTCTTTTAGCAAGAGTCCAAGTTTATTAAGTCCTTGGCAGACATTCATTGGCAAAGACATTCAAAGCAACTGGATTCAAATGAAATAGTGTTGTATTTTATTAGTTACATATACTCTTAAAAATGTATTGGCGTCAATGGTTCAATAGGGAGTCTTTCCACGCCACCAATGGTTATTTAGAGTAGAAAATGTTCTTTAGATTATTAAAATGTTGGTTCTTCTATGCAATATTGTAAAACCCCACTTTTTGATCCTTTAATTTTAAGAGTGTGCATGCAATCAATGATTAAACTTTAATTTCCAAAAGACAAATCTAATCAGAGCAATTGGGGTAATATGAAACAAGAAACTGGGTTTACCCTGCCAAAATCCTCAGATTGGACATCAACAGCACAAAACAAGGCTTCATTTAATCTGATCTGGATTTGTGGACATCAGTCTTTTCAAGGATTGTGACAAATAGTTTTTCCGATAAAGAATCATACAAAACCACCAACAGAAAACTAAACATTTATCCTAGACCAAATACAGTCTTTGTTGTTTTGGGATTTGTGTACGCACTGCTGATGCAGTGAAGGAACCTCGAGCTCTTGATCTGAACAAATGCTCCTCATGTGTCTGACATGGGAATCAAAAACAGATGAGAGACACGACCACATTTCATCTGAGTAACATATATTTATTTAGAGCAGGCAGAGAGAAAATGCTCTGCTCTGTTTCATACCAAGCTGCCTATTATACAGTATTTTAAGACATTTGAGCCAATTATGTAAGACTTACTTATATGCGATATTATGTAGTATGAATGCACTGACAAGCATTTCAAAACTTCATTCTTAGGAGTAGTTCACTTTTAAAAAACTTTTGCTGATAATTTACTCACCCCCATGTCATCCAAGATGTCCATGTCTTTCTTTCTTCAGTCGAAAAGAAATTAAGGTTTTTGATGCAAACATTCCAGGATTTTCCTCCATATAATGGACTTCAATGGGAACCAAACGGTTCAAGGTCCAAAAGACACTTTCAGTGCAAACTACGAACTGTTCAAAGTGCTTTAAATGATTTCAGACGATGAATAAGGGTCTTATCAAGCGAAACGATCGCTCATTTAATAAATAAATAACAAAGTTTAAGTTTTATAAGCTCAAATGGTCGCCTTGCTCTGTTCTGTGTGACTCTCCTGTTCAAACTCGTTCATCAAAATGAACGAATCTTTTTTCGTGTCATTTGGTACATTCAACGAACGGAATGAACAAATTGACTCAGAAAAAGATTCGTTCATTTTGATGATCGAGTTCGAACAGGAGAGTCACGAATGCGCATCGCAGAACAGCGCAAGGTGAGCATTTGAGCTTATAAAACTTAAACTTTGTTATTTATTTATTAAATGAGCGATCGTTTCGCTTGATAAGACCCTTATTCATCGTCTGAAATCATTTAAAGCCCCTTGAAGCTGCACTGAAACTCTCATTTAGACCTTGAACCGTTTGGTTCCCATTGAAGTCCATCATATGGAGAAAAATCCTGGAATGTTTTCATCAAAAACCTTGACATGGACATTGACACGGGGGTGAGTAAATTATCAGCAAAAGTTTTTTGAAAATTGAACTACTACTTTTTGAAAAGTGTACTAATACATTTTTTACACACTTAAGTGCACATTTTCCAATCATATTACATTATCTTCAAGCACAGTGTTTATATGTATACTTCAAAGATTTGGAGTGCACTACAAGTTTATGTAAGCTACTCCAAATAGGTCACTGGGTCAGTGAGGATGCAAAATCAAACCAGACGTAAAATCAGTCGACACGAGACCCGAATCCTGTAGAGACAAACCTCATGAACCCAACGAAAGCGATGTTGCATCATACTAAAAATGTCTTTTTTGCGCAAAATGTAACATGTGAGGTTGAAGATTCACACAGCCAGTCAAAGAGAGTAACATGCAACCGGATTTATAGGACAATTACTTAGCGAGATGAAAGGACTAGCATGCTTTGAGAGAAAGAGGCATGGGTTCATTCGGGGGAGGGAGGCCGCAAGAAGAAGGAATGCATGTGCCGAAGAATGAGAGAAAGCGAGGGAAAAGAGGAGGAGACAGGGTGGAAAGAGGGAGGGGAGAGCGAAGTGTGTGTTTGTAAAGATGTGTATTGAATGAGTGGGCCTTGTGTAGCAGTATGTGTGCTTGTGTGTGCATTTGCACATGTTTGCAGGAGACAGAACCACTAACTGACTCCACAACCTCAAACCCAGCACAAGCCACCTTTGTACGCAGACACGTGCGAGTTTTCGCCTGTGTAATGAGAGGAATGACAGTGTGGAGAGCTCAATGCTGGAGTCTGCCGGCGCTCCTGATCCTGATCTCTCCGCAGGGAAATGCCCACCCGCAGTGCCTGGACTACAAGCCTCCGTTCCAGCCTCTCGAGCCCCTGCTCTTCTGCAAGGACTACGCCAAATTTGGATGCTGTGACTCAGACAGGGATAACCAAATCTCCCAGCGCTTCAACCAGATCATGGATTACTTCGATCATTCGGGGTTCATGGCCTGTGGGAAGTACATCCGCAGTATTCTTTGCCAGGTGAGTCTCAGGTCAGGAATTAAATGTGGATATTTGAAGAGTTCAGATGCAAAAGCCTCTAAATGCCATTTGAAATTTTCTTCTTTAATGATGATTTTTATCAAACTTGTATATTTAAGTTCAGTAATTTCACTTAAATAACAATTAATAGGTAATTATCATTGCCATTTAAGTGAAATT